GGATCTTCGGCCTTAAGTTGCGGTGTCGCTGAATTTGTAATGCAGGTAAGAAAACCATTATACAATTTCCAGATTATGTGACAATGACAGCTGTAAAGTTCACTGTAATCATTAATGCATACATCCATCAAAGGAAGAATTTCACCGTTTTACAGGCTATTATTGGGCACCCTCTTCAGTATCAACATCAATAGAGGAACATGTCGAACGAATATTATATTTACAAATTTCAGAATCTATGGTAGATTTGGTTTTAATACCCCGACCAGGTCAACAAGGTGAAGCAGAAGAGTATCGCTATCCAAAAGCCGGTGAGTTAATTATTTGTTATGCTAATTCTGTACTAATTTTTGTAATAACTATCTATTAACTCTAAATATGTGTATGTTTGTTTCGTTTATATAGGTACGCCGAATGCCGTTAGTGATTTACAGATCGTCGAGTTTATTCCACGTTACAACGAAGATGAGGTAAATTTATTTACATATATTATTTATTGTATTGTTTTTTTTTCTTAAAGGCTAGTTAAGTAATTCACACAACAGATTTATAAAAGGAAGTAACAACCAGTCCTGTTCACAAAAGGCTTTGGGGTCCTGCAGCATTGGACAAACTCTTCCCGTGGAAAGAGTACATTGTTCGGTTTGGCTGGTGTCCAAATGGTAAAAGGTAATGCCCTTTTTTTTTTTTTTATTACCTGATTTTAATTCGTATTATCTCATATTTACGTTTTTTATAGTGTTTGGGTTCAGCTCCTTGATCGTCCACAACGAAGAACAGCGATTGTTAAAATCCCAATCGCCAACTTTATGAGCCTATCAGAATATCAGAATGGTGGTGAATTAGATAATTTTTGTGCGTCACATATAGAGGTTGTCTTTGAAGAAACAAGCGACATTTGGATTAATGTAGGTAAATTTACTTTATTTAATCAAATTATTATAATATTATATTAACCTTTTTGATCGGTTATTTCGATGCATGGATTTATTGATATTCTACTAAATCGGCTTCTATATGCATATATCACAGATAACAGATATTTGTTATTTTTTTAATGATGAGATTATTTCAACGAAGAATACAGATACGAATACATCTTCGCCTTGCACGAAACGATCTCAGTTACCTCCCACTAAGCTTATCATCACTTCTGAGAGTACTGGATTTCGTCATCTTTACCTCGTGACCAAGCCTTCTGCTGAATCTTCGCACTATCACGTTAGGCCTATTACTGCTGGAGATTGGCCTATTGTAGATAGACCGATATATGTCGATACCAAAAGAGAACTTGTCTATTTTACTGCCAAAAAGGATACGCCGTTGGAAGCTCATATATATGTAGCTAGTTATGCCGAAACTGCAGATCCTCACTCAGTGATACGGCTCTCAGAACTAGGTTATAGCCATTTTGTGGTGATGGATGAAAAATGTGAGAGATATCTAGATTGGTTTTCAAATATAAAGGAAAAACCAAAATGCGGGGTTCGATATTTCGAATGGGATGAAGGGCAAATATTTCCCAAAGTAAGTGAAACATTAGGAATCTTTGTGAAAGGCGGAAATGAAGAAGAGGAAGTAAGGAGTAATGAAGATAAACGACAAAATGAACGAATTCCTACAGGTGAATTTTTTAATTTTAAAAATAGCGATGGAGTAACAATTTATGGATGTTTATACCGGCCGACAAACTATATTCAAGGGAAGAAATATCCCACTCTTCTGAGCATATACGGTGGACCTAAATCGCAGGTGTGAATGATCTATATCTCGTTTATATATATATTTGTTTTGTAACGTACGATCAGTAACTTAAATTTCAATATTATACTGCAGATGGTAACCAATGATTATAAATACCCACGACTTCTTCGATTATTTCTTGCAGCTCATCTTGGTTTTTCTGTTGTTTTGATTGATGGCCGTGGGTCCTCAGATCGGGGTTTAGCATTTGAATCCTATCTTAATGGTCGTATGGGCACTGTTGAATTAGATGATCAAATTGCTGGATTAAAATATTTATCTTCAATGAATATGGGTATTGATTTGGAAAGAGTTGCTATCACTGGCTGGAGTTACGGTGGGTATTTAAGTTTAATGGCACTCGCGCAACATCCACAAATTTTCAAATTGGCCATTGCGGGGGCGCCAGTAACGCAATGGGAACTTTACGACACTGCCTACACAGAACGTTATATGGGACTTCCAGAAGAAAATGTTGTAGGTTATCACAAAGGGAATGTGTTAACATGGGCAGAAAAATTTCCTGACGGGTTAGTCTCCTATAATTTATGCAAAGCAGTTATAACCAGAGCATTATTTACATTTCGTGAATTATCTGATTTTTGATAATTTTCCTTTTGTCTCTTGACTTTAGGGAGAATCGTCTTCTCATTGCTCATGGACAAATTGACGAAAATGTACATTTTAAGAATTCCGAATTATTAGTTTCATCTCTTGTAAAATTTAATAAGCCGCATGTTTTACAACCATACCCAACAGAAAGACATGGATTAAGACATGCGAATGTAGCAGAACACTTTGAAACATTAATGTTTTTTTGGCTGGTTAATTACCTGTGACTTGTCTTGAATGTTATGTTTACTAATTTTAGACTGGAAAATCTACATTAGAAATGGCAAGTGTCAAATTATGAGATCCAACAATTGAACATTTTTATTAAAAAAACATTCCTTAAAGGAATATTGTTATTTATATTAAAAATTGTATTTATATTTCTGAATGTATTTTACAAAATAATCATTGATGTATTTAAAATTGACATTTTTATAAGCATCTTTACAATTATTGTTTTATTGTTTTGGGAATTTAAGATATGTAGAATTTTATTTTGATTTCATAAATTTATGCTGCATATAACTTTTTGTAAAGTGTCACTGGCGCCTGTTAAAAAACTTAAAATGTGATGTATTGTATTACTCATTATATTAGAATTTGGTTGTTTTTTTCATGTTCTATATATTATCAAATGAATTGATGTATATTTTTTTAAACTTTTGTATATTTTTGTGCCCTATATTAGCAAAAAAAAATAGGCCGATTACTAACCATGAGGATTTATAGATGTTAATTACCCCTGCTAATCCAAGAGATAGTAATCGATTTTAGTCAAAATAAACAATCGATATGTAATCAAATAAATAAAAATCGATACATAGCCAAAGACGATATAAATCGATAGTCAAATGATATAAATCGATATTTTGCTAACGATATAAATTGTTCTATTTAATATTGCAACATAATGTTACATTTTTTAAAATTGAAGAAAGCAACTAATTTTTTATTTTACAAATATACAGTACATGCAATATATGCAATATATGCAATATATAAATTAATATTATAGGTAAATTTTAAATAATTCATTTTGTTTTTGCATAAATTACTATTTTGAAAGAGAGTATAGTATCAAAATTGAAGTTAAATTGGAAACAAAATTAGTAGAGGTTTAACTTAATTGTTTACTATTAAGCTTAATACATACAAGTTTATTATTTATAATTTTATTTACTTTTTTTAGTCAAAGCTATATATACTACCAAAATTGGTTTGAAAAAAAATCTATTTTGTCTTTATTAGAGTAAATTAAAATTTTTTATATAAAAAAGCAAATCTAATTTATGTATTTATATTCCTTATAATTTTATCTATTCAAAAAAAGTATTAAAAAATTTTAAAATAATTTTGTTAATATGTATAGTCAAAGCTAGTCTCTTAAATTTTGGGTTTTTAATAGATCATAGAATTGAGAATACTTTAAGTTATATAATATTTATTATTTTTAATAAAAATATATATAATTATATATACAATTTTAGTTAAAAGTTTTGTTATATTGTTATAATTATATATTGTATATTATATCTGAGATTTGTTTGTAAATTTTTTAAATTTTTAATTTGTAATTTTTATTTTTTTTATTTTATTTTTTTTTTCACATAGGCAAGTTGCATCAATATCTTTTATTTAATCAAGACCGAATCTGTGAAAACATCATAAATATTAAAATTGGAATCTGACATCCTGCGGTTACTTCGCATAACCTAACCAATTACCTACATGCATCTACAGGTGATTTGGTCATACGGTAAGGTACAATCAATTAAGATATTACCGTCCCAAAGGCTCGTCTAATCACTGCCTTACAATAGAATATTGTCAATCTGATGATATCTTCTCGTAGAGAAGTGAAAAAAAAGAAAAAATTATTTAAAACAAACACAGAGATATAGGAGAATATGTAAAAAAAAAAAAAAAAGGGTAAGAGAATAATGAGAAAACTAAACTAAATATGAGATTATTCATCCACATGAGGAACTCACAATGGATGGTCACAATTATAAGCCTGTATTGAGTTTTGTAAAAATTATATATTACTATCTAAACTATTCTCTATACTAATTTATATAATTAATATGTTTAAGCAAAAAACTTATCAGAAAAAAAATTAGTTTTTTCGATATTAGCACTGTTAGGCTCAGCGCATCATTTGTCCAGGTTGCCATATTTGAGACATATAATCTAGTTATTCACATCTCTGTATTTACGTATTTGTTGTGATAGATAATAAACATAAACAATATTAACCAATTTGGTAAGTGAACAATTCATCGATCTTTTGGAAAAAGTAAGCTAAATTATCCACTTTTTACAAAATTTTCTCTGAAAAAAAAGTGAAGGGTCAACAAGAATATATAAGGTTCTTCTATAAGTTTTATAGTCATATAGTTGTATCTTCAAGCTTATACTATTGTAACGAGTACTGTTCTACTACTTGTTTCTAGAATAAACCTTCTAGTTTAGATGCCAAATATCTTGAAGAGTCTACTAACAATACAAAAAAAGCTTAACTTCAAGAAAAACTACTTAAATTATACCCGCTCCTCAGTGTTTCATGTTTTTCAAGCTTTGTCAATAGCAACCTGTTCAAAGATAAGTTTAGTTCTCAAAATAAACCTTCTGGTTTGGATACCAAATATTTTGGGAAGTTTACCGAAAGCAAAGATTTAACCTCAAGAAAAACACCCAAGTTATATCTGCTTCTCAGTATTTTACATCTATAGGTTTTGTTGACAACTGCTTATTCAGAGACAAGACTGTAAATAGTATATTTTTGGATCTTCCTATAGTATTTTCTGTAGTTCAGTTTTTTGTTGTGTTGTCTAGAGAATCATTAGAAAGAGTTGTAAAAAAAATTATATTTGTAATTTTTATTTTTTTTGATAATTTGGCAATCTGTCTTAGTTTATTTGAGATTAAAACTATTCAAAAATTACATATAATCTTATTTATAGCTATGCTAATCTAACCAAACATAAGGCTTACCAAGCTTATGCTTGATGCAATCTGCCACAGTAGTCATTGGCCTTCTTTGGGGTTTCTAATTTCCTAGAGATTTTTTTCTCCACAGTTATTGGCTGGTAGCTATGTGCTTTGTCAGAACTACCTAATTATATTTATAGCTTACAACATAAAGATGAGCTATCACTAAAGATTAGTACTTTTATTATACTTCTTTGCAACATTAATTCCATAGAAAGTCTCTGCAATAAAATATATTTAATCTACTATATATTTACTTACTGTATTATCAAAGCTCAGATAGTTACAAAAATATTTTTTTTTCTTTTACAAATCACCTTCATTCTATCAAATACTGATTTACTTTTTATGCTTAAAAGATATCAATTTTTTATATAACCTGCTTTCACTATAACTATTAATAAGACACAAGGGCAAACTTTGAATTAACTTAGGATTTACTTGCCTATACCTGTGTTTTTTCATGATCAACTCTATGTTGCTTACTTAAGGATAATATTTAAAAATAATTTTAAGATTTTAGATCAATATTTAATAGCAGGTTGTATATATAATATTATATATCCAGAAGTATTGCAATAGATATTTTAAAAACAAAAAAAATAAAATAAAAAGTTAATAATAATTTTATAAAATCTTTAATATTATTTTATTTTATTTGATAAAGTTTTATAATCTATAGCAAATATCACTACAAGATATTATACAAGCAACAAAAATTAAAAATATTATAGTAATTGATAAGTTATATAAATAAAATAGTTGTAATATATATAAAGTGCAAGTATTCTAAAAGTACAATTAAATTTTGAGTTTGTGATTTAGTAATATATATCCTTTAGTACTATAATATGTTTTATACTATTCTATATAGTATATTAACTTCTTATACTGAAGAACAAAATAATTAAAATCAACTTTAAAATCAAAAAGAAAATTTATCATTTTTTAAATATGGGTTAGAATAGGTTTTATAAATAGTAAAGTGCTAAAATATAATATTATAGCTATTGTTTTTGTTTAATAAAACACATTATTTAAAAAAAAGTAAATCTTTTTTACAAGATAAAAGTTTTTAGACTAAGTAAATATTTAGTTTATATTTTTAATTTAATTATCAATAAATTAAATATTTTATATATACTGCATATATAATATATAAATTTTTATTATTGGCTAGAGCATAGCGATGAACCCTAAATTTTTATACATAGTGATACAAAAATTACATTCCTAATGCGCTTCAATTGAAAAAATCTTGACAAAATTTACTTTTTTGATATTCTTGTATATGTATAATATAAATTTTATCAGAAATAGAATTTGAAAATTTTTTGTTTGTCTGCACACGTGTCTATATTTGTGCTTTAATATTATCAACATATACATACTAATGTATTTGTGTAATATGATGAACATCATATGATGAGCTCTGGACATATAATGCTATACATTAGCCTAGTATAAATTCTGTTTTTCTAAGTATAATTAGTAATAATATAATATTTAATTCGAATATACAGTTATTCTTCTCTATAGTCATTTTCTATATAGTCACACCTCTTTATAAACATCATTTTTTTAAAAATTATTGGCAATTTATTTATTAAAAAAACTTTATATAATCACAATATTACAGTATACTCTCTCAAATCTGATAGGCATGGTGGACAGCTTTTGTATCGGTTTTGGAGGTTATCAGATTTAAGATACCAATGGTTCACTAGTCACATGATTATAAATAAATATAATTGGCTAAATTATATTTATTGTATATTTACTTGGTCACACAAATCTTAATCTGAGCTAATCAAATTGATTTATAATATTCGACAAACCCGATATCTTATAAGCTTCTGATCTTTTGAGTATCGGTTATCAGAAATAGCAGGTTATCTGGTTTAAATTATAGAACAGACATAGTAGATCAATTGTTTATCAGGTATAACAGATTATCGGTTTTGACAGGATCGGTTTTGGGAGAGTATACTGTATTAAAATTTTATAATTACTTCTTTTTTATATAAAACAAATTGCGTGATTATAGAGAAGGATGACTATATATAATTTAATTGTAATAAAGTTAGAATATATATAATAATTTAATTAGATTATATAATAATATATAATTCTAAAATTTAATTCTTAAAATTTTTAAAAACTTATATTATATATATTAGGGTGCTGACATTTATTAGGTAATATTTTAGGGGGTGGGGGTAAAGCCAAATCTTACCTTAATACAGTATAATATTAAAATTTAATTGGTTAATAAAAATATTACCTGGGAGGGAGAGGATAGAGCTCTAT